ATCCCATCCCTCTGGGTCTTCCCAGTGCACCAGCCCTGAGCACTTGTCTCATGCATCCAACCTGGGCTGGTGATCTGTTTCACCCTTGATAGTATACTTCTTTCATTGCTGTTCTCTCTGAACATCCCACCCTCGCCTTCTCCCATTGAGTCCAAAAGTCTGTTCTGTACATAGACTGGATTTATTTAAAAAACATTTTTTAAATGTGGTATAGTTGATTTTCAGTATTAGTTTCAGGTATAGAGCATAGTGATTCAAAAATTTTACAGATTATACTCCATTTGTAGTTATTATAAAATATTGGCTATGTTCTCTGTGCTGTACAATATGTCCTTGTAACTTATTTACTTTATACATAGTGGTTTGTACCTCTTACGCCCCTACCCCTCTCTCGCCCCTTCCCCCTTCTCTCTCCCCACTCCTAATCACTAGTTTATTCTCTATTATCTGCGAGTCTATTTTTTTGTTATATTCACGACTATGTTTTATTTTTTAGGTTTTGCATATAAGTGATTATCATACAGTATTTGTCTTTCTGTTATTAATATTTCACTTAGCATAATATCCTCCTTTATTCCAGCGTCTCCCTGCCCTTTTGCCATTCATGTTGTTGCAAATGGCAAAATTTCATTCTTCTTTTTATGACTGAGTACTGTTCCATAGTAATATATACCACGTCTTCTTTATTTGTTATGGAAGCTGAGGTTGTTTCCACATCTTCACTGTTGTAAACAATGCTGCTATGAACTTTGGGATGCATGTATCTTTTCAAATTAGTGTTTTTGGTTTCTTCCACCCAGAGTAGAACTGCTGGATCATATGGTAGTTCTAGTTTTAATTTTTTGAGGAAACTCCATACTGTTTATTGATGAATTAAATTTGACCCTTAGGAGTGAGAACTTCTTGAAATCTATCCCATAAGGTGGTAATGTGGGTGAAAAGATGAGCATACATCCTTCAAAGGATATAAAATAATTATTGAGCAGAAACCGGGAGAAAGAACAGAGAAAAGTCGTATCAGGAATCATGGTTCCAGGCCTTTCTGCAATCCACCAGAGCATGTGCACACTCAGACAATTATAGAGCTACGTCTGTGTGTGAAATATTTCAGCCAAACATTTGACGAAAAAGTACTTTCATTATTGACACAAGAGTTAAGCTCTACTGATAAATAGGAATAAAATGACCTGACCCTTTCTCCCTACAGTCTTAGAGCATTTCACCTCTGTGGGATACCTCCTTCTCTTAGATGTCCCGTTCACACACACACACACACCCCACACGTGGTCACACACAGTCATACATTCACATGTAACACGTATGGTCACACTCACACAGACAGCCACACACAGGGACCTCTTCTCACACATCAACCTTCCCTGTGTCACTGTAGCCAACACACCCTCACAAGACAATCGTTCTGTCCAGCAGCAGCTTTTTCAAAACTGCCTCCAGTCTTCTGACCCTTCGTCCCCTTTTTACTGACTCGCTGCCAAGCAAGCCTCTTTGCTCTAGGCTCTCTGCTTTGTTCTGTTCTTCCAGCCTCTCAGCCTCCCGGCTTTATTCCAGCTTCTCCCCATCCTGCTGCCTGAGGTGGCCCCCTGACCGCACGACCGCTCCCTGGCAGGAGAGACCCTTCTCTCTTGAGCTCTGAAATGCAGCGGGACCTGGGAGTGCGGGCCTGTCCTGACCACACGGTCCGCCCTCCTGGTCCCAGAGCCCGGGGCCCTTTCATCTCTCCCTCCCGCTGGGTGTCCCCTTGCTTCCTCCTGCCCACTGTTTGCATCAGGCTCCGAGGCTGGTCCCAGGAAGCCTCCTCTCTCTCTCCCCAGCCACCCTCCCCTCCCCAGCGGTCTGTGGGGTCGGGAAGTCGGGGAAAACCAGGCTGGGGCCCTGCTTCTGCTGCTTGCCGGCTGTGTGGCCTTGTTTCCTGATCTTTCCGAACCTCGTTTCTCCAAACAGAATGACGGGGTGACTGCAGCTCGGGGCCTGCGCAAGGAGGGGTGACTCACAGGGGGTGTGACGCTCATGATTGCTGTTGTTATTGCAGCAAATAACAATACGATGGCACCTGCCCTGCTTCTCAAGGTGGAGTGAACACATTTTTCTTCTCTCCCCCTTTCACTGGATTGGAGGTTCCGTGAAGATGCCCAGCCTTGCAGCTGGTGCCTGACACACCGCCCCCGGAGTCTGGGGTGGGAGGGCTCGGGCATTCGAACTGGGGTGGGCACCCACTGTGAAGGATGGATGCAGGGCGTCCAGCTCACACAAACAGCCCAAGCCTCGGGGTATCAGCAGCCTGAGTTATCAAATGACTGGACCTTTAAGAAAAATGCCAGGTCCTCTGAATGGCACTGGGATGTCAATCTCCCTCTCCCCAGCAATCTCCCTCTCCCCAGCATGCTGGCACGTGAGGACTTCCGCTGCCCTAATCCTCCCCTTCAAACAGAGAAACTGCTGACCTGGAGGGATTTGCTCCCTGCTAGGCGGGGGGTGGGGGGTGCAGCGAGCCGGCTGCCCTCACAATTTAATGTCCGCGATGGGCTAAGCCCTCAGGCTGAGCTCTGCCTGACACCATCCTGGAGTGTCTCTGCTGAGGCTTCTGAACAGCTCTCCAGGGGCTTCCGCACAGGGAAGCATGCCTGGTCCCGCTCAGCCTCTTGGGGAAGAAACCCAAGAGGGCAGCAGGTCCTTGAAATGACCTCTCTGCGACCACACAAGCTTCTGGGGAATTGACTGAGGTCCCACCTTCCAGCTAAAGGACAGGAAGAGACCACTGGCCTCTCCTCAGAGCGTGCAGCCGCAGACGCCTTGTCCAAAAGCAAGTCTGTTCATGGCTTCTTCCTCCGGCACCTTCCATGTTTTCACTCAGCCTTTGGTTAAAGATAAAATTCTTCACAGGATCTTCAAGGCTCTCCCTGGCTGCGCCCTGCAGCCTCGGTCTGTCCATTTCATCCTCACCCCTCCTACCCTTTCTCCAGTTTCAAACAATGGTGCACCCATCCTTCAGCTGGGTCACCTTGCCCTTAGGAGTTCTCAAACTGTGGACATGTTGAGCTGAAAAGCCGATGGGATACCCAGCTGGGAATAATCAGTTAGTAGGATGCGAAGGTCCAGGGCCAGGGACCTAGGCCTCGGAATCATCAGTGAGTGAATGCCAGCTGAAGCCGTTGACAAAGACAGTGTCCGGAGGGAGAGCAGGTGGCTGAGCCGGCCCGAGGACAGAGGCAGGACGGAGGGGCTGCGCGGGGAGGGAGGCTGCAGGGAAGGCGGGGCGAGGGCCGAGGGCCCTGTCCTGGAAGACGAGGCTCTCAGCAGAGGCCGGTGCTCCCTGGCCTTCAGCAAGGATGCCCTCAGGGCCTCGGCTCAGGCCCAAAGCGGAAAGCGGCTCCTGGGACTGAGGCTCCTGCAGCTCTTCGGGAGAGTATTTACTTACTGGGAGGAGGGAGAGATGATTCTTACAACAGAAATGTTCACGGAAGAGGATAGCTGCCACTGTGCCGTCCTCACTTTCCAGTGAACTTGGCACGAGGAGGTGGTGGGGTCTGGATGGATCACCTTCTCTGTTTCGGTTCAAGGTGAGAGAGAGTGGGATCCAGTTTGAAGGCTGATGAGAAAGAGCAGTGAGAAGGAGAGAAGGGGAGGAAGTTGGGCCAGGGTGTTTCAGGGCAGAGTTCAAAGGGCTCGGGGAGAAGGGGGGTCAGGCACCTCTGCTGAGCCCCCAGGGACCTCCAGAACCTACAAGGCCGAAGGAAGTGAAGACACGGCTCCTGCTCCTGCTTTCTGAGCTGCCGCCACCCTATCTGCACTTTCTACCTGGTGTCTCACCAGCGTCTGGAAATCGAGATGGCTCCTAAGAATCTGATGCACCATCATCTCCACAAACATGCCGCTCCCCTGGTTTTCATCATCTTAGCAAATGTTTCCACCATTCACCCAGGTGCTCGTCATAAAACTGGGCCATCCTTGCCTCTCTGTTTCCGCCATCCCCATCCCCATCCCCAAGCCATCAGCAAGGTCTTTCTGCCTCCCTCAAACCTGATCAGTCCTCTACACCCTCACCGCTCACTGCCCTACCCCAGGCGCCGTGTTCTCGCAGTAAAAGCCTTCTAATGGTTTCCTGCCTCTTCTCTGCCCTTCCGCCATCGCTTCTACCTGAGTGATCTTCTCAGGTGTTAATCCAGACCTTGTGACCCCCTGCTCAGAATTCCCACGGGTTTCCCCTCTCAGGGTCATACATCCGGGGGCCTCAGGCCTCAGACGTCCCTGGCTTCGTCTCCCACCTCCTTTCTCACTGCTTTCCTCCTCCTCATTCTCTATTCACTGCTCTTACTGTTCCACACACAAGACTCACCTCAGGACATTTGCACCTGCTGGTCCCTCTCTCAGGATGCACTCTCTTCAGCTCCTCTCACGGCTCACCTTCTCTCCAGGGCTCACAAGGCTTCCTGGACCACCCTCTCCCCCAGCCCGTCTCTCTCTCCTTCCTTACTCTGCTTTATTCTATGTTTATGGCACTTACTTTGTGAGGCCATATTATTTCTCTCTCCATTTGTTTACTGTCTGTTTATCAGCTCTGTGGGGGGAATGAGTGTCTGTCCTGCCATGCCTTGAGCGAGGAGTATTTGGACAGAGTGGATGCTCCGTAGGAATGTGCTGAGAAAATAAATTTCAGTCCAGGAATCAAAGAATCATGCAATGAGAGAGCAGGATGGCTGTCTATATTGTCCAGCAAAGACATTTTCCTCTACCCTGCCAGGTTCTTCTGGCTGGCATAAGAGTTAAATGGACAGGAGAGAACTTAACAGGAGAAAATCAAGCAAAAGTTTAATAATCTGCATCCATGGGAGAGACCCAGGAAAAACGAGTAATTCTCCCGGTGGCCAAGCCCTCACATTAAATACCGTCTTCAGCTAAAGACAGAGGAGGATGTTGGGGGTAGTGGTTTAGGACTTCAGTCAGGAGGAAGGCAATTCACCTGAAGATGGGAAGAGAAATGTTTGTAAAGCAGTGATGTGCCAGGCTGTGCAGACAATGGGACAAGGTGGACGCTGACCTCCAGGCTGACCTCCAGACCTGCAGACTTTCCCCACCACCCCCACCCTCTATTCTTTGCAGACATCTCTGGTGACAGCTCTGTTCTAGGAACAGACCCTCTGCACAAATTCTTTTAGGCATGCTGCATGCGAAGTTGCTTCAATTGTGTCTGACTCTTGGCAACCCCACCGACTGCAGCCCGCCAGGCTCTTTAGTCCATGGGATACTCTAGACAAGAATACTGGAGTGGGTTGCCATTTCCTTGACCTCCCATCAAATAATACCATCTGCGCAGAGCTGAGAGAATGAAATTTAAGGATTTCATAGGAAGATGTCTCAATGAACAGGACCCCGAGACAGGAAATGTATCACTCTTCTCTTAACAGAATTTAAACAGGAAATATGCTTGTTTCTCTAAAAAGTCAATGAAGTGTGATAAGAACACAGAGAGCTAATAGGGGTGTATATAAATGAACAACAGACATTCAGAAACAAAGTCTCTTCCTTGATTTCTAAAACCCTTCAATATCTAACACATTACAGATAGTATTATAGTAACACTGATTTCTTATAAGGTTATCTCCTTCCATCAAGAATTAAACCTCAGGGAGTTTCCTGGTGGATTAGTGGTGAGGATTCTGGATTTCCACTGCTGGGCCCCACGTTCCATCCCTATTGGGGAACTTTGAGGTCTTATAAGCCTCACAGTATGGCCAGAAAAAAAAATTAAAACTCACATTCCATCAGCCCCAAATATTCAAATAACCTGCTAGTTTGCCTGCCTTCCTTCCTCTCCATTTTATTCTCCCTCTTATTATGTTTCCTGTCTAGTGATCATCCTGTAAGTAGCATATCGCTTTGGAATATTTGGAACTTGACTGCTCTAGGATTATGTGTGGTTGTGGTGGGAAAAAATATATGGAAAGAATGAGTGTGAGTGAGGCCAGAATCACGCCTTTGTCCTCTGGGTTACAGGAAGGATGGGCAGCGGGGTCTGCCGTCCTGGCTGGACGGGTCGGGCACTTCTGTGCCCAGCTGAGGCCTCCACGCCCGCTGGCTGTGAACGGTCTGTCCTCCTGAGGGGTGAGGCTCTCGCCGCCAGGGGGGCTTCTGCAGACAGCTGCCAACTGGACTGATGTGAGGAATAGCAGGTCTGGCTAGGATCAAACCAGCCTGCTACAACTTTAACTCTATTTATCTCAGAATTTTACGTATCACAAAACCAATATTATAACAACATTGAAAAGATGTTTGTAAGTTAATTGATTTATTTGGTTAATTTTTGGCTGCCCTGGGTCTTTGCCGCTGCAAGCGTGCTTCCTCCAGTGGCAGCAAGCCGCTAGTGCCTCCCTTGAGCTTCATTGGGGTGGCTTCTCTTGTTGCTGAGCACTGGCTCTAGGACGTGCGGCTTAATATTTGTGGTACGTGGGCTTAGTTGCTCTGTAGCGTGTGGGATCTTCCTGGATCAGGATATGTCTCCTGCATTAGTAGGCAGATTCTTTTTTTTTTTTTTCATTTATTTTTGTTAGTTGGAGGCTAATTACTTTACATCATTGCAGTAGTTTTTGTCATACATTGAAATGAATTAGCCATGGATTTACATGTATTCCCCATCCCAGTCCCCCCTCCCACCTCCCTCTCCACCCGATCCCTCTGGGTCTTCCCAGTGCACCAGGCCCGAGCACTTGTCTCATGCACCCAACCTGGGCTGGTGATCTGTTTCACCCTAGATAATATACATGTTTCGATGCTGTTCTCTTGAAACATCCCACCCTCGCCTTCTCCCAGAGTCCACAAGTCTGTTCTATACGTCTGAGTCTCTTTTTCTGTTTTGCATATAGGGTTAGTAGGCAGATTCTTAACCACTGGACCACCAGGGAAATTCCTAAAGAACTATTTCAAAAGGAAAAAAAAAAAAAAACAACCTTAAACCATTCAACCCAAGCATTGGTCATCCAATCATGACTTTTGGCAAGACAGTTAGGAGCTTGCCAAGGGAGAATGGGGTCCTGTCTGGGAGGGATCTGTTTTAGAAGCCTCTGGAAGGGCCAGGCCCTTAGGTCAGCCTGTCGGTGAGGGCGGGGTGCTGAGGGCAAGCGAGTGTGCGGGAGCCTGGATCCTTTATCTCTCAACCTCCCTTCAGGGGAGAAAGAGACAGTAAGATGGGGGGAAAGTGTCTAACAGGTAGATTCTGCAGGAAGTAATCTCCCCAAATCATCTCACACAATGCCTCGGTGGGCGGATGGAAAACGTTTCTTGCCTGTCTTTGCAGTCACCTGTATAAGAAGAACCCCGATATGACCAAAATCCGACATGGAAAACCTCAGCCACTTCTCAGAGTGGATGACCACGATTTCACCATGAGGCCCGCCTTTGGAGGTAAGATGTGTCCGCCCACCTTCAGCCCTCTGGGGCCGGATCCCAGGACTGCCACCTGAAGCTGCTCCGGCGGGTCCCCTCAGGCACAGCCCTGCCCCCGGGGGAGGGGCGTGGCTTGAGTTTCCCAGTCGGCGGAGCCCAACTCACTAACCATCCCCTGGAGCAAAGCGGTGGAAGGAAGTGAGTGTTGAGGAGAGGCGTTGGGGACGGTGAAGCTGTTTACTTTCTCAAAGGCCTAGCCCTGCTGCTGCCAGCTTGCCTTTCTTAAAAGAATAAGAGCAGGCGGGAGGTTTTGCACAGAAGATGACTCTGTTCTCTGCTGCCCCTTGCCTGGCTGGGAATTTGGGTTTCTGAGGAGGGCCACCTGCTTGCCCATGCAGCAACCATTTAACCCCTCGCAGGAACTTCCCTGGTGGTCCAGGGGTTAAGATTCCACGCTCCCAGTGCAGAGGGGGTGGGCTCAGTCCCTGGTTGGGGAGCTAAGATCCCGTATGCCACACAGTGCGGCCAAAAAAGAAAATGATCTTAAAAAAAGAAAACCCCCAAAACAATTTAACCCCTTGCAAAGGCCCCTTGCAGACTTGACCCCAAAAGAGTTTCCCTGCTCTGGGGGGTCCAGCAGGGGTGGCATGGAAGGTGGCTGCCCCTCCCAGGAACTGGAGAAAAATGCCACAGGGAGAGAGGAGCCTGGACAGGGGCCAACCGTCTGCACCGACAGGGCAGGGGGAAGGATGGGACTCACAAGATGCATGAGACACAGGCCCAGGCACCCCTTGTGCACGTGGGGAAACTGAGGCCCAGAGCAAGGCAGCTGATACACCCTGCCAGAGAGACCCTGGCAGGCTGGTCTCTATTCCCCTTTATCTCGCTCTTGAACTTCCCTCGGGTGCCAACATCCTCCTGGGGCGGCAGGAAGGAGCAGGAATGACTTGTGAGCAAGCCACCGACCCTCTGCCTGTGGTTTGTGAAGTGGGGGAAGTAATCCCTCCGTCTGCAGGGGCTGTCAGGATTAAACGAGATGATGTATGTAAAGCCCCTGGCACCTACGGGTTCTCGGCCCCTTAGAAAAAGCCAGCTGTCAGGCCTCCCTCTTGTGTGACTGTGAGGGGATTAGGATGTTAATTTATCCCCGGGGCCTTTGCATTTTCAAAGCCTCTCACTCGGCTCCCTGAGCTCTGACACCTGCCAAGCAGGAGGAGAAAGCAGGCGGCCAGTCACTGCCTCTTCTTCCTGCTGGGACAGAAAGCTGCTCAGCCAGGCATCCCGCTGCCCTCGAGGGCTTGCTCTGAGTAATGCCACCAGAGAATTTCATGAACTTCAGTAACATTTTCCTGAGTAAGCAGCTCTAAAATTAGCTGGAAGTGCTCCAGGAGGTCCAAGCGAGATGATATCCTATAAGCAGAAAGCTCCTCTTTGTTTTTCTTCTAGAGCAGGGGTCCCCAACCTCTAGGATCTAATGCCTGGTGATCTGAGGTGGAGCTGATGGCGTAATAATAGAAATGAAGTGTACAATAAATGTAACGTGCTTGAATCATCCAGAAGCCTCCCCTGTCCGTGGAAAAACTGTCTTCCGTGAAACCAATATCTGGTGTCAAGGTGGCTGGGGACCCCTGTTCTAGAGGAGGAGCTGAGATGCAGACGGTCAGCAGGTGACTGGGACAAGGTTGCCAAACAATAGCATTAATGCCAACGCACAATTCTTGCAGACTTCCGTGCCAGGCACCATTCTAATCAGGGCACTTACAGACGTGATCTTACTTCAGTCCTCACAACTCCGTGAAGTAGACATAATTATGAAGTAGATACTGTTATGCCTAGCTGAGGAACGTGAGGTGTGGAGAGGTGAGGTGACGCCCACGTCACACAGCTGCTGACCCACCTCCTGGGTGGGTCTCTTTCTTGCCTCCTCTGACCTGCGTGTCCTCCACTGCTAGGCGGAGGAGGCATAGGGTTTAGGGCTCACAAACAATACTCCTAGGGGCCTCTACAAAGATTTTATTTTAAAGTCAGAAGAAAAAAATAAAATTTTAGGTAGAATAAAATGTTAATGTATAATACTAATATATTCATCTTTATGCCAAGACTTTTTTTTTCCCATTTATTTTTATTAGTTGGAGGCTAATTACTTTACATCATTACAGTAGTTTTTGTCATACATTGAAATGAATTAGCCATGGATTTACATGTATTCCCCATCCCAGTCCCCCCTCCCGCCTCCCTCTCCACCCGATCCCTCTGGGTCTTCCCAGTCCACCAGGCCCGAGCACTTGTCTCATGCACCCAACCTGGGCTGGTGATCTGTTTCACCCTAGATAATATACATGTTTCAATGCTGTTCTCTTGAAACATCCCACCCTCGCCTTCTCCCAGAGTCCACAAGTCTGTTCTATACATCTGAGTCTCTTTTTCTGTTTTGCATATAGGGTTATCGTTACCATCTTTCTAAATTCCATATATATGTGTTAGTATACTGTAATGGTCTTTATCTTTCTGGCTTACTTCGCTCTGTATAATGGGCTCCAGTTTCATCCATCTCATTAGAACTGATTCAAATGAATTCTTTTTAATGGCAAAGTAATATTCCATGGTGTATATGTACCACAGCTTCCTCATCCATTCGTCTGCTGATGGGCATCTGGGTTGCTTCCATGTCCTTATGCCAAGACTTTTGAAAGTGACTGTTCTGGTGGAAGGGTCCATGAAGGCAAGAGCCCAGGGTCCTCAGAAGTCACAGCGTGGCAGCCCTCGGGCAGAGCACGGTCCTGTGGGGCAGCTGCGTGCGTCTGTGTGCGAGTGACCTTCCCAATCACGCCTTGGAACTTTCTCATGGAGGCTGTTGTTGCCGGCAGGAGCCTGAGCCGTCACCTGGTCAGGACCTTCAGTTTGCAGAAGAGCCTGGGCCCCAGAGGGTTAAGTGATAAGCACAGAGCAACTGGAGGCAGAACTTGGGTTTCTTCTGTGATGTCAGATGCAGAAGTGAAAGCCTCGTAAAACCACCCTCCTCCTCTGGGAGAAAGCCAGGAGCTAGCTCTCACTCAGCGAGTGAAATCCTGCCACGTTCTCAGAAAACCCAGCTCTGAGGAGAATCATCCAACAGGCTGCAGCCCCAGTCAGGGAGCTTCTTCCTCAAGCCACGTTCGAGGAGCAAACTGGACTTCCTGTATTCTGATCCCTGCACGTGCTGGGCCCATCAGCTGGACTTCCCCAGAGTATGAAGGATCAGGACCGTCCCCTGCCCCTGCCCGAGTAAGCCTCTGAGGCTGGGGAAGGCCCTGATTTCAGGGAAAGCTGCTGGAGAAGGAGGTGTCACCTCCAGCAGGTTCGATAAGACCTTTACACCTCAGCGGACACATCTCAGTCACCACGGCAAAGGGTGGGAGCGCTCCTCCTTCCTCCCAGCTCCCTGCCCCAGGGCAGCTGGTCCTTGGGCCACATTTCCTTCCCTACAGGGAGGGCTATCCTGGAGGTCTAGATGGTACCTGAATGAAGTAGGACTAGGGGAACTCATGATGAGGTACACATACATGAACTCAGAAATAGCTTTGCAGCTGGAGGGGTCCTGACCAAGCAGGCTGGGTGGGGCCGTCCCAGGAGGGGGCTTCCCACTGCCCAGGGCTCCAACGATCGTCACAATCCACGGCCCCTGGGGCCTCTGTGGATGGTTTGGAGCCCAGAAGCTGTCTCCGCCGGTGCTCCTGACGGGGTCCACCCAGCCCCTCACTCCTGGGCAGGAGTACTGGCTGGTGGTGGGTGTGGCTCTGAGGAAGGAGGCTGACAGACAGCACATAGGTGACTGTCCAAGTAAGAGCAAGCCTGCCTTCTTCGGGGGCAGCCATGTGCCAGGCCCCCAGTCCAAAGCAGAACCTCAGCCCAAGCGGCCCTAATGCAGGTCCAGCCTAACACACCCCCCTTAGCAGCCGCGCATACTCAGCAGGCCACACCCACAGGGTGCCCTTTAAGAGTCAAGGGGTATGTATTCCCATTCCTGTCTTCTCTTTCTAACTTGTGTCTCCAATAGGGGCTTCCCTGTGGACTGATATTTAAAAATAACTGATAGAGAGGAATTTGCCTAAGACTAGATACCCCTTGGATGACCTTTTCAGTCTGAAAAAAGAAAAGATTAAAAATCTAGCAGCTTCCTAATAATCCCAGGGATCAGTTGAAACAAAAATATCTTGTCTAAGCTCCCAGCTGCCTGGTTCGGTAGTGTGTCCTGGTTAGGAGAACACGCAGGGGCCTGCCTGGGGTTTCCCTTCCATTTGTTAGAAAAAGTGAAATGCTTAGCTTTTTAAAATTAAATTTTAATGTTTAAAAAATTGAGTGTAAAACATACAGAACATATAACTTACAATCTCAGTCATTTTAAGCGTATAGTTCAGTGGCCAAACCACATTCACATTGTTGTCCAACCATCACCAGCATCCGTGTCTAGAGCTTTTTCATCTTCCCAAACCGAAACTCCATTGAACAATAACTCTACTCCCTGCTTCCCCTGTCCCCGAGGACCACCATTCTACTTTCTGTCTCTGAATTTGACTGCTCTAGGCCCCTCGTGTCGGTGGAATTATATAGTACTTGTTCTTTTGTGACTGGCTGATCCACTCAGCGTTGTCTTCAATGTTCACCCATGTTGTGTGGCAAGATTCCTTTCTTTTTTAAGGCCAAACAATAGTCTGTTGTATGAATATATCACATCCTGTTTACCCACATATCTGTCAATGGACATTTGGATTATTCCTTCCTTTTGGGTATTGGGAAAAAAATCTGCCATGAACATGTGTGTACAACATCTCTTCAAGACCTTGTTTTCAATTTGGGGGTTTAGGGCTTCCCAGGTGGTTCAGATGGTAAAGTGTCTGCCTGCAATGTAGGAGACCCGGGTTCCATCCCTGGGTTGGGAAGATCCCCTGGAGAAGGAAATGGCACCCCACTCCAGGACTCTTGCCTGGAAAATTCCATGGATGGAGGAGCCTGGTGGACTACAGTCCATGGGGCCGCAA